AGAATTATGTATCATAGTGTAGTCTTCTTGTGTGCCAAGTTATATTGAAATTAGACCAAAACTGTAGGAGGAGTAGCATTTTGAAAAATTGTTTACAGACAGACGGACAGACAGACAGACAGACGGACGGACGCCGGACGCATTACTATCGCATAAGCTCTTCTGGTCTCTGACCAGTAGAGCTAAAAATGTCACACATTTCTAAATAAAAAGCAATTATCCACATTTAAATTACAATAAAACTAACCCAAAGACATATTATTATTTTTTACAAACATTTATTTCAAATCATCTCTATGTTAAACGACCAAAGAGAAATAAACCATTTCAATAAAAACAAACAAGTATATACCACTTTATAAATCTGATCAGTTGACTTAGCACCGATGATTCTGAACAGTTACTGTAAGATGCATTTGATCTTACGTTATAATTATTACAGATAGCGATCAAAATTGAAATATCAAATGTTTTCTTTCACTTCAGAATGTTCGAGGTATCTGGAAAATGGTATGATTAACGTGGATATAGATAAAGTGTTTACCCCTGGAGTAACCAGGACAGGCAGTTGTAATGATGGCTATGTTGCAGTATCTGGACAAATTAACGCAACATGCAACCCTAATTTTCAAACAGTTGTTTCCGATACTTGCCGTGAAGGTATCTTTTATAAGTATACTATGATTCGGTCATTTATAATTTGCACCTCACCTTATGTTCGTAAGAAAGTAATTTGAAATATACAGGGTTAGAAAACATATTATTGCATGAACATGTAAATATCCAAACTTTTAAAATGAGAAGTGATTTACAGTATTCTTATGTAAATTTTAGTCCTGCGAAATATCACGGTTGGCAAGCCTACAGAACAAATATCAACCTTTAGGGAGTTCGAATCTGGTTTAGCGGTGGATGGAATTAGAAACACTGATATTGACGCTCTCTCCTGTTCGCATACAGATGTCTCTGATGATAATCCGTGGTGGAGAGTTGACCTTCTAAAGGTTTACTTCATTGTTACTGTACGAATGCTCAACCGGGGAATGGATCGATATGGAATAGGTAAGTTTGAGGTCCTTGTCAAGAATTTTTACTAATAATGTGATGCCACCACCTGGCGGTGGAGGGCTCGACACTGAGGGCCATTGATCATGAACAGCGAGGGATCATTTTCGTGCCTGTACCTCGACACGGGACCTCGTTTTAAAGGGTCTTATCTGTGTAAGACCGGTCTCCATGTCCCGAAGTTGGATTACAAGCCGCGAGTTAAATTGATACGTAATTACAAAAGAGTCAAAACCACTAGCTTGCTATATTTTCAACTAAATATCAACTTATTCATATTTAATGAGAGCAAAATTAAACCTTTGATTTACTTTGCCATATTGGAACACTTAATTATCATTTACTATACACGTATGAGATCGAACAAGGCTGACAGGCACCTTTTGAAGTAGTAGTAATATAGTGGGACACAAAATAAAAATGGATAATTTTTCGGCTCGTCATTTCCACAAAAAGGAAGGTTTTTTTCGGTACAGCGCCGAGGGTTTCTTTTTCTGGCCTTTTTTTGGGGGGGGGGGGGGTTCCTCTTATTTGGGTGTTATTTGAGGAGGCTGGGGATCAACAAATTAACAACAAATTAACCACCACATATAACTTAAATTTTTAGAGATGATATCTATATAGCTGTCAACTATCATTTGGCAAAAAAAAAAAAAATCATACATATTTGTTTTAAAATTTGATCATTTTTGTGTATCTGTAAATGGAGATCTTCTTCTAAAGGAGGTCGAAATAGTCTAAAAATGGCCACGAACACCCAGCCCCTTTAACTGTTATTAGCTATCATTCTTGACCATGACTTTTGACATGCCCGAAGGCAGGTGGGTTTATTTCTTTGTTTTTACATTTGCAAAAATTTTTCTTAGATGACCCTTTTGAAGAGAAGAGATGTTCAGTTCTCTATGTACGAGGGGTGATCAAAAAGTTCGCGAACTATCTCTATATTTAGAAAACCACAATTCAGATCAGAATGAAATTCGGCACACATAGAGTCCTACACATGCACTGTAAATAGCATACGTAATGGAACGTTTTGCCCCGTGTTTGTGACGTCACAATGTGAAAATGACGTCATAAGGTATATAACGTGACAAAAAATGGCTGACTCAGTCGTATTCGAGAAACAAACGGCTGTAAAGTTAAACATATATCTTTAAAATTCCTTTGCAGAAGTTTATAATAATTTGTTCACGGTTTATGAAGACAAAAGGCTAGCCAAAAGTTTTGTCATTAATTGGATTGATTGTTTAAGTGAAGGAAGGGAGATGTTTAAAAATGATGTTTGTTCTGTTGCCCGTGGAAAGCAAACTGGGAAAGAGACGTGTCCTTTGTTAAGCAATTTGATATGAAAGATCGCCAACTTACAGTTTGAAAAGTAAATGAATATCTTTACAATAATATAATTATTCGAACCCTAAAAATATCGTTTTCTTGAGACTTTGAACATATCAGATATGATAAAGTGAAGGCATCCATACTTTATCCACATGGAATAAACGACGCTCAAAAGACAGATGACTTGGGTTTTGATGGTCACCATGCTCATTCTGCAAAATGATATCATTATCCATCCATACTGTTGCGGAAATTAGGCTATTTCTGACAATTGGACTGTTTTTGTTGTAAAAAATAACTTGCATGGTAAGAAATATAATATAAGAGTCGGAAAAAAGTTTATGCTTCTGCGACAGAACGCTAAGGAGCATGTCACGTGACCGCCTATATCACGTGATCTGCGCAAGGGCAGAATAGTTGCAGATACCCATTAAAATCGGAGAGAGCTACTGTAAAAAGAAATTCAACACTAAAACCCCATATCATTTCTTTTTTGGAAGTTATTCAATTAGTTCGCGAACTTTTTGATCACCCCTCGTATAGTACTAGTTTGGGGGTCAGAGGTCATAGCGCGACCAAACCACACGGGGAGATGATACAGTACCAACCAGACCCAACCTGACACTAAGCAGTCCAAGAGCAGTCCCGGAGACTGCATTATGGGACTGCTAATTATATATAAACCAGAGCTGTTACACAGCGGTCCCAGAGCAGTCTCAGAGATCCCACAGCAGTCCCATTGGACGGGGTTTATTAACAGGCGCGGGTCCAGGAATTTTACTCGGGGGGGGGGGGGGGGGAGCACTCCAGTGAAAAAAAAATCCAACCCAGAAATTTGACAAGAAAAAGCAAAAACCAAAAAAAAACAAAAAACCAAAAAAAAACCTAAAAACGTGAAAATCATATTTCGGGGGGAGGGGGGGGAGTGTCTAGTCGTTGACTTCCAAATCTTCTTCATACCTATGACTTTTCATACCAACTTAGCCATATCCAAGTTTTTGAGGGGGGATCTGCGTTTTCTAAGGAGGGGGGGGTCCAGGGTCACTTTCTACTTGGTTTAGTGGTCCGAATCCCCCCCCCCCCTAGATCCGCGCATGAGTAATTTAATGGGCGGAGCTAACTCGGATATGAGATTTCCAATAAACAGTGGAACTATAACAGGCAGTTGAAATTATTCTGAGTAGTATGCCAGGAATCCTTACATGTATGCGAAGGTCATATATAAACAGTACACACATAGAAACAATTTGAATTTAAATATTTATTGAAGGAAAAAGGTTTTTACACCTACATGACTGTATGAATTACACTAAACATGAATATTTAATCACAATTATCTGGTATATTAATAATTCAATATCTTTATTTTATCTGATTGAACCGGTTCCCATATTTATTTTTATATAGAAAATTAAACTTGAATTGAGTATTGTCAACCAGAATTAGTTTTAAATAGATCTTGTCATAATAGAACATGGCCGAGTATATTGCTTGTGAATTGGGAACAAAAATTATGAATGTCCTGGTCCCTGCCCCCCTGGGGCCTAAGGGATGGGGCCAAAACCACTAAAATTAATGAAATATTTAAAAATCTTCTTCTTCTTTACTCTTGGACATCAAGCATTCAAACTTTTTTGATGGTTGTAATAAGCATTGAGTCCTCTACCAAAATTGTGAAATTCATGACCCTGGCATCAGGGGTTCTAGTGCCACAGGGGAATAAATAGATTATATAGTGACAATTCATAATTTCTTTGAAAATCTTCTTCTCTGCTCCTGGGCATTAAATAAACTAAATAAGTACATGTACATAGTTATGTTGAATAAGGTTGCCTCTTCCAAAATTGTGAATTTCATGGCCCCTGGGTCAGGGGTTCTTAAGTTCTAGGGCGGGGCTATATAGATTATATAGTGAAAACGCATTATTTCTTTGAAAATCTTCTTTGCTCCTGGGTAGTTAATAAACAAAGCAATTTTTAAAACATTGTTAGGTTGAATAAGGTTGCCTCTTCTAATATTGTGAATTTCATGGCCCTAGGGTTAGAGGTTCTGGTATAAGGGCAGGACTCTGTTAATTATATAGTGAAATGCATAAATTCTTTGAAAATTTTCTCCTCTGCTCCTGGGTATTAAACAAACTAACCAAGTGTATAATTATGGAGGAGGTCAGAGGTCATCGAGCCGGAAAGTCGATCATAAAAGGGCTCTCTTGAAAATTCGTTAAAATGTGTTATTTCAACTATTTAAAGTGAGTAGGGAAAGTTTCTGCATTATTCTGGGGGCATACCATTGAGTATGTATAAATATATAAATACCTTTGTTATTCGTTTAAGTGCATTTGTCTATTTTCACGTTTTCTAACCCATGTAGCCAGTGAGGACAACTCACCCGTGAACACCTGAGAACATTGTCACAAATGTTATTATAGTTGTATGATAGTAGCTTACAGGCCAGCTATAGAATGCATGTGGAGATAAATTATAAAGTTAAACGAGACTTACCTGGAAGGTGAAGTTTGACTGTAATTTTTCCTCCATTGAGAGACGTAGGGATCAAATGAGATGAAGTTCAAGGTCACGTAATCATAATTCAGAGGAGTAGTAGTAAATATTGGGGCATCAAGTTATACACAAAATAATAGGGCGGGACTCGGAAAATCCATAGGGTTGGGCATTTGATCCCTACGTCTCTCAATGGAGGAAAAATTACAGTCAAACTTCACCTTCCAGGTAAGTCTCGTTTAACTTTATAATTTTTCCCCATTGAGAGCCTCAGTCTCAAATGAGACTTCAGAGTTGATGACCCAATAAAAATAGATCACAAACTTCATTACCAAATAAATGCAAACAAGTTTTAACTAACTTTATTAACTCCAACTCAGATTGATGAACACATTTCCATATATAATCTGCTACAAGTTGTCATTTTGAAAATTGTCCAACAAAGCATTGCTGAATTCACTAGACAGTTTAACTGGTTTGTTATAAAATTTTCTAAAGGTATTGTCAGTAGTCCAACCTGCTGTTCTCAGAATTGTGGCAACAGACACCTTAGCTTTAGCTGCAGCACTAGTTGCTGCTGATCGTGTACTATGCGAGGGAAAAACAGTTCATGTCTATTCCAGCATTTGTCATAACTGATTTGATCCAGCGACCAATGGTATCTACAGAAATTGGATTGTGAGGCTTTTGGGTACTTATACAGTACCCGCATCGTTATTCTTTACAGGATACACGATACGATAGGATACACGCACGATACAATAGGATACACGCACGATACGATAGGATACACGCACGATAGGACAGGATACACGCACGATAGGATACACGCAAAACACGATAAACGCAAAACACGATACACGCAAAACACGATAAACGCAAAACACGATAGACCTGATAAACGATCTACACGATAGGATAAACGCAAAACCTGATAGGATTGTTTCAAAATGCGGAACGTTTTTTGACAAGACGAAAAGATTATTTTGAATTAAATCTAAAGATTAAAGATTATTTAAATTAAATCATATTTTAATTTAAATAGTCGCAGAGCTTCAAATCTAAACTATAAAGTACATTTAATTATTATAAAAAGGACCTGAGATCTCAGTATTAATTTTACAGAAGTTGTTTATTTATATATATAAAAAAATTGACAGT